CACTCCAGCCTGGGTGACAGAGCGAGACTCTGTCTCAAAAAAAAAAAAAAAAAAGAAAAAGAAAAAGAAAAAACAAAAAACAAAAAAAAGAGAATAAATATTAATATATAAGCAATAAAACAAGGACCTTCAAATAGCATCTTCTTTATGGACTCCATATTATGGATTTGGAACTAATGAAGCAGATTTTACTCTCCTAAGAAATGGTTTGGTGACAGAAATGAGACTGAAGAACAAAGGATTCTTAAAAACTGATTTAACTATTAAAGTAAACTTCTCCTAACACATATTACTTAATAATTTTGTCAGTTTGAATTTATTTAAAATATTATATTTTGACACATAATAGACCAAATGTCCATAATCTTTAAAAAGTTTACAAATCAGTAAGAAAAACAGATCTCATAACAGATAACAAGTATATAAAAGATGCTCAGTCTCACTAACAATAGGATAAAAACAAAAAACTGATCTTCAAATGTTTATTAGATTGAAAAGACTTTTATGTATATGAGAATGGTAAGAGTTCAGGAAAACAGGCATTACTGACAGGAGTCTGAAGTGGTTTTTACACATAAAAAAGATATTGTAAACTTTTTACTAAATATAACACATATACAGGAAAGTTGAAAATCATAAGGTAAAAAGCTCAATGAATTTTCGCAAACAAAACAGGTCCATATAATCAGCACCAGTATTTAGAAACAGTATAACCAGATTTCCTGAAGTCTCCTAAGTGCCCCATTCCCATCATTACTGTTCCTTTTAAAGGAAACCATTATTCTGACTTCTGATATCATGAATTAATTTTGCCTGCTTGTGAACTTTAATTAAGTGGCATAATACATTATATTTTTTTGTGTCTAGCTTCTTTAGCTCAAAATTATGTTTGTAAGATTCATCCATGTTGTACTTGGCTGTAGTTTATTCATCCTTTCTGCTGCAGAGTATTACTTGGTATAAATATATTAATATTTATCCATTCTACTGTTGGTGGACATTGGGTTGTCAACATTTTTGATTACTAATATTAGGCTACTATCCACATTTGTGTATGTCTTTTGGCGAACTATGTACATACTTATGTTGGATATATCCCTAGAAGAAGAGCTGCTGGACCTCAGTATGTGCATAATGTTCTGCTTTAATAGATACTCTCAAACTGAAGATCTATTTGTGGTTTTCCAAAGTGGCTGTATAAATTTACACTCCCACCCATAGTGTAAAGTTCCAGTAAAATATATTTTTGAAAAGATATAAAATAATACAAGCTTTGACTCAGCAATTTAACTTTTTAAAAAATGTATATTATAGAAAAATTTAAATATGTAAATACATAAACTTTTTTTCACTGCACAACTGTAATTGAGACATATTGGAAATAATCTAAATACTCATATAGAAAGAATAGGTTAAATAAATTATGCCACATCCATACAACGAAATACTTATGCAGCCATTAAAAAGGATATGAATGATCCATAAACAACCACATGAAAGATATCACCATTATACTGCTTAATCAAAAACACAGGCTAAAGAATAATTCATAGAATAAAACTATATATGCATAGAAAGGGTTTGGAAAGATGGACATTAAATTATGACTAACAATTTTTAAAATAATGATGTAACAATTGTATACTTCTACTTTCATAATAAAAAGATGTTTACTTTTTCATCAACTAAAATGGTATACTTTAAGTTACACAGACTTACTTAAAAAAGTGTTTTAAAAACTTTTTTCTATGCTAAGTATATCAAAGAAAAAGGAATCTCCACATACATTTTTAAGTTAGATACAGTTAGAAACTCCCAGAAAAGCTGACATGTTTAGTTTACTCTATCTCTTTCTGATTGGGAGGTGAGAATGGGAAGGGTAGAGAGGTCAAATATTCTCGAAAGAGACATACTTAAGACACATAGGCTTGGATCTCTCTATCATGTTTCTGAATGGAAGAAAAAGGAACAATGAATCAGTTACAAATATGTGATTAGCAAGAAACTAATAAAGAAAAAACTCTTTTGCTAAGAAAGTAGAGTTATAGGTAGTAGAAGAAATAACTGTGTTGCTAAGCCAAAGGACATAAGAGCTATAAATGGGAAAAAATTATGCAACAAGAATTTAGATGGCAGCTCAAACCAATTATTTTATCACTCAGGCTGGAGTGCAGTGGCGGGATCTCAGACTACAGGCCTCCACCACGTCTGGCTAATTTTTGTATTTTTGGTAGAGATGGGGTTTCACCATGTTGGCCAGGCTGGTCTCGGACTCCTGACCTCAAGTGATCCACCCACCTCAGCTTCCCAAAGTGCTGGGATTACAGGTATGAATAACCGTGCCCAGCTTCAAATCATTTAAAACAAGATGTATGGACAAAATTAAGGCTGTATTAGTAAATGAGGTAGTAATAATTATGAATAAATGAGAACTGTATCAAAGCATAAATGTTCATTTAAAAAATATGCTCTAGGCCAGGAACGGTGGCTCACCCCAGTAATCCCAGCTACTCGGGAGTCTGAGGCAGGAGGGCTGCTTGAGCCCAGGAGTTCAAGATCAGCCTGGTCAACACAGTAAGCCCATCTCTAAAAAAAGGTGAAAAAAATTAGCTGGGCATGGTGGTACACACCTGTAGTCCCTGCTATTTGGGAGGCTGAGGTGGGAGGATGGCTTGAGCCCAGTAGTTCCAGGATGCAGTGAGTTAAGATCATGTCATGTATTCCAGCCTGGGTAACAAAACAAGGATCTATCTCTCAAAACAACAACAAAAACCAAAACTCAAGAAATCTATGGGCCAATTAATACAAATAATAGAAAAGGAATGTGGCTGGATACATAATCATATACAAGTTAACTGCATTTCTAAATATCAGCAAGGGACAATTAGCCTAAATTTTAAAAAGAAGGCATTTATAACAGCAACCAAAAGTGTCTTTAAGTTACAAAAAATATGTGTAAAACTTGTTCACAGAAAAATAAAATGTTACTGAAAGATATTTTCTAAAAGGCCTAGGCTGAGCATAGCAGTTCACACCTATAATCCCAGCAGTTTGGGAGGCTAAGACAGGAGGATCCCTTGAGCTCAGGAGTTTGAAACCAGGCTGGGCAACATAGTGAGACCCCATCTCCACGAAAAAATCAAAAAAATAAGCCAGGAGTGGTGGCACACATCTGTGGTCCCAGCTACTCAGGAAGCTGAGGTGGGAGGATTGCCTGAGCCCAGGAGGTCGAAACTGCAGTGAGCCGTGATCATGCCACTGCACTCCAGCCTGGGCGACAGAGCAAGACCCTGTCTCAAGGAAAAAAGAAAAAAAGGCCTAAATAATTGTAGATATAACATTGTACAGTAAAGATAAACAATTTTCACCCAAATTTATTTTACAAATTTATTACAACTATAAGCATATTCTGATGACTTATTTGTAGAACTTAATAAAATCAACCAAAGGACAAAGAATAGCCAAGATCCTTCTAAAAATGAATAAAGAGAAAGAAGGGTCTTGCCTTAGCGGCCATTAAGATTTATTACAAAGCTATAATAATTACAAAAGTATGATACTGATAGAGAGACAAATTGTCTGATGAAACAAAACAGCCTAGAAACAGATTTGTGTTATATAAATCTTTGTAATATGACATACGTGGGATAGCAGATCACTGGGAAAATTAACCATTTCATAAATGAACAGGGGAAAAACTGGCTATCTAAATGGGGCAGGGAAAAGTTACACATATACATCATAAACAAAAATCATTCCCAAATAAATTAGTAACTTAAATGTCAAAAGTAAAACTTCAAAAGGAAATATAGATAAATTTTAAAATTCCAGATAAGGACTTTGTAAATAAAAGAAAGTGATAAGCATAAAAGATCGATAAAACTTAACTATGTGAAAATTAAAAATGGTTCATCAAGAAACAGCCTAAAAACAGTGAAAAACATCATAAAATAGAAAAAATATTTGTACACTAATACATGATAGTGGATTAGTATCAAAAATGCATTAAGAATTCTTATAAATCAATAAGGAAAAGAAAAACAACTCAATTAAAACAACCCAGTAGAAAACCAGATCAGGACCGGGTGCAGTGCTCACGCCTGTAATCCCAGCACTTTGGGAGGCTGAGGCAGGTGGATCACTTGAGATTTAGGAGTTCGACACCAGCCTGGCTAACACAGTGAAGCCCCATCTCTACTAAAAATACAAAAATTAGCCGGGTGTGGTGGCATGCACCTGTAATCCCAGCTAC